ACTTAATTGTCTCTTTTATCTAGAGCAGTTTTTTTTTACTTGTCCATATGATATTTACAATATGATATTTACAAAATTAAATAAATTCTAATAACAATTTCTCTTGTCCATACAGACTGTGAGACAACCTACCATTGAATTTGGACAACTGTCTCTGCTTGAAACCAGCACAAAAATCAAGCTCTTTAAAATAAATCTCATACAGAACAAGTATATGTATATATACCGGTCCTTTAATCATACAATTATCTAATATAATTTATATCCTTAAAAAAAACTAGTAACTTGCAGATTATCAACCAAAGAATTACAAAGACTTGTACCAAAATTGTATCTCTTGAAAAAATTTTGGGTTGTCTGTTATACAATTATTATATATGAAATACAGCCAGAATCATTTTAAAATTATTTCATCAAATATAATTCATACGGATATTTCTAGGTTGAACTTGAAACTTCCACTGGACTTTCATCTTTGCTTAACCTACCTTTAAGTGGTTGGAATCAAATCTTTGCCACTAGTATACAGCCAGGCAAGTGGTGCACATCTGTGCACTGCATTCTGACCAATCTCAAGATCTATACAGTTGGCCAACTAACTTTAAATTTTCATTTTTGCATATCCCTAAAACTGATAATGGGTCGTTCTAAAAAGGGACCCCGTACAAGTTTATTTAGTAATTCAGCATATGGTAACACGTTATATTGTAAAATAAAACTTTGATCAATTTCTATACAAAACTATTAAATTTGATTATTCTTAGCCAATGTTTTACTCTCTGTTTATATAAATTACGGTAAAGCTGTTTAAGATTTATGATTTATACGCAGGTGCAATCTTAATGTTTACGGTAATTTGATTCAGCATTTATTAAACGAGAATAAATTTAATTTTCTAATGTCGCAACTCCACAACTGCACCTTATTGGGCACTTTTATGATCTGATCAACGGAAATTGTCAGGGTTTTTATGGACCGCAAAATCCATTTGTGTACATTTTTACAAAAAATTGTCCATCTTTATGTGAACATTATAATATGATTTATATTTATTTAACCAGCAATGTAATTTACTAAATGAGGAGGATATTAAGCCTTATGCTTGACACCACCTCACTTTCATATTTTTAACCTATTAAGATAAATGCACAGAAAAATGTATAATTCAATTTCAATAAATTTAAGTTTTACTCTATTGTGAGCGAAGGCATTAAATAAACCCGCTGCACAATACTGCATTGTAAAATTGATTGAAGAAGAAAAAGAAAAAACAACGCAACACAAAAGTATTACCCCACATGGATGTGTCACTTTAATACTGCAGTGTTAACGATTTATTGGTAGTTATAACACCGGAAAATTGCACTAATAAAAATTTTATGGCACTGTCATAATGATACCGAAAATTCATCCTTGTTTGATGATTACATCTATTCTTGCCACACATGATATTACACCTTACACTTTATTAAAAGACTTAAGCATAAGAGTAATTAATCATTTATACCCTGCAAGAACGGACTGTTACCAGCATTTGCCACCAATATAGTGTAGTATAATAGTATCGTATATAGCCAGGGTTGTACATCCATGCCAATCAGCAAATACATGGAGTCTCTTCTTATTAATTGATCCAGTGTAATTCTAATTCCAAAAGTTGATAACTGACAGTTATAAAAATAAAAGCTGGATCAATTAATTAATTCAGTAGGTCAACATTTAGAATATAATTATAACAGTAACTTATTTCACATACAATATTATCATGCACAGATTGTCACAAAGCCAGAATTTATTTTATAAATATTTTTAAAGGACAAGTACAAAATTGATTCAGATTAAAATGACAAGCAAGTCAAAATCAGATTTTCTCTAAATTCCGCCAGATTCAGTTATAGTCCCAAAAAAAAGGTCAGAATTACTCAAGCGTATCAAAACTCATTAATCTTAATTTGTTGGCAATTTTCTTCAAGTTTAAATGCATCAAATATTTTACATATAAATCAAAACTGGACTGAAAATTCCTGCATAATTTAATTCATTCATGTGTTATAAAATTTCATTCTCATATAAAATAAATTCACAAAAATTTCAGTAGAAAGACAGAAATGTGATGCATTTTCAAATCCAAAAGAGTACATTTTTAGCCACATGCTTCTATCTTTGTGGTCTGCACTGTTTGCTATTCAGTCAGTACATCATCACGATAGCTAGATCATGATATACATATTTTGAAATTTTCCTAAAACTGATGAATCGGTTTGTGAGTGTGACATTGTCCATACTGACAGATGGTCCAATTAAAGAGATATTAAAACCTCAGTGCCAGGGCTTCCAACAGCCGAAGCTTTGAAGTCATGTACTCCTTCATTTTAGCTTGTGACTTCCAAATCTTCTTTAGCTCTATAATATCAGAGATTCTGCAGAATTGAAGCCCTGGCCTGGTGAGGGTTAAAGGAAGATATTCAATTATTTAGTTATTTACTAAATATAGCAACATTATATCTCAGAACAACTAACTAACAGTTCAGATCTATATACATGTGGGAGTCACCTGTTATCATAAGCAACCTAAGGGTACATTGCACAATAAACCTCCTGAATTTCTTTAAAGAGCTTTTTTTGTTAGGTTAAGTTTACCATTTTATGTTGCACCAACACAACATTTCCTGAGCTAGCTGGATAGCTTCCTCACATGAAAGAATCCAAAGTACCTGTTGAGATTTGAACCTAGACAGCAGTGAGGGGCAAGTGGTTTGAAGTCAACAACCTTAACTAACCAGCCACAAACACCCCCTTTAATGGACTTGTTCAGCTTTCATGTTTGTAACTGTCTAGATACAAAATATATATCAACTTTGGAGAAATCTGACAAGATTTAAATTTAAAGCAGGTCAGTAAACTGTTGTGTATAGCCGCCCTGGTCAAACTGCATGATAAATTCTAATCACATTTGGTACTAACAGGTCAAGTATTAATGATATCGGATGTATGTTTATTAATAAAATTTTATAAATGGTACAGATAATTTCGTTGTAAATTTACAATAACATTCTGTATCATATCATAGCATTTTACATTGTATATTTTAAGCATTCTGTATATTTACAAATAATGATAAAAATGTGACAACCATAGTAAACAGCGAGTGTTGGCAACCATTTTAAAATAACCGTTCTCTGTGCAAACATGTCATTTTACAGGACCACTTAACTTTAAATTGAGCAAAGATTTGATCAATCAATAATGAATTAAGGACCTTTTTTCACAGCAGCTATTTTGGAAAATGGTGTCTGTAATCAGTGAGTTGAGAAAAGGGCAAAGAAACGCTGGACAATGAAGTTGTGATCCTTTGTTTGCTGAAGAACGCAAAGAACGCGTTCAGACTCTCTAATCAAAATTACCGAACAAAGTGGCTATAATTTCTATCACTGCCAGTCTGTAGGCTGATGGATTCTGGAAATATCTGATTAAAAATTATCAATCAACAAAAAAAAGTCTATATACTTTTAAGTTATCAAAATAATGAGTTGTGTTTTCCTTTGTATAATTTTTGACATTAAAAATGATTTTTGGCTGTACATGTTATGATGATGTATTTAAAACAATTCATGACTTTCAAAAATAGTATTTAACATTTTAGTGAGTTTGAAATCTGCACAATATCTACAACAATATTTTAGAATTTATCATGCCAGTTTACTTGTGTTTTTATTCAAAATGAATAATTAATTTCTTTTGCAAACTTGAAATGAACATTATACATACATATATAGTAACAAGACCATTAATTTTGAGTTATTTATTTAGCTTTTGGTATATATTCTACCAACCAGTTTAAAGGCTGAAATATCATTTTAGGTTGAAGTATTATGTATTATATTTTACTGGTAAAAAAGTTTGCAGTATTGTCTGGCCAAACCTGCTCTCCCGTGTGGAGGAAATAAAATTATAAAACTTAAAGTATCTCTCTATCTTTAGAAAGAATTTCCAGAAAAAGAATCTGAAACAATTATTACATGTAATTGCAAGTTAATAACTACACAAAGTTAAATCTTATGTAGGATATTAAAGGAGAATATCATGAAAAGCTAGGGGGAAAAAAAGAGTACTTTAACAAGAATAACCTTATTTTATGACCTTTTTCACTACATCATACAAAATTACATCCAGTATGCATTAATTATATAAAATTGGCAGGCTAGCATGTGGTTTTTCTCCTCCGTAATTAGATATTTTCTGCTTAAATATGAAAAATGGCCTTTGTTTCATAAATATTATTGCTGTACATGAGTAAATGTAGTGTGTAATACATTCAAGTGGAACAGTAAACATTTGTAAACAGTCAAAGATTCACACACACAAAATTGTGAACATTAAAATGTTTCCTACTTTGTCAACAAATTACACAATAAAGTAGACAAAGTGTAAACAATACTTTTTTTTTCAAAATTATATACTTCATCTTAAAACCCAATACACAAGAATGTTGCAGTTCACTTAGTTCAGCGAAGGGAACACACAAAATATAAAAATATAGTTTGTATTTAACTCTTGCCTGACATGTAGGACTTCAAGATATGACTGTTTTAAATTTATATAGGCCTTCATAATAAAATATCTTTTGAAAAGATATATTTTTTAATGATTTTTTCATCACAGGGAATGGACTGATTTTGTTATCAAGAAGCTTGGGCAGTGTTATACCTTCTTAAGACAGGTCCTTTAAAATTTAACAGACCTGTTCCCTTTTTTTTGAAAAAAAAACTAAAATGATGACTAAAAATTCCAAATGATTGTCAACAATCTAAATTTTGGCTAGGGTCTCACTGACCGGGTCTGCAATCGTTATTTTTTTTCTAATTTACTTAATTTCACTAAGCAAAAAAGTTATAAAGGTGGGACACATTTTTAAAAAGGGTGAAAAGTCACTGCTGAAAATTACATTATATATATGAATTTGGAACAATTTATTAAATGATATTGTTTTTACTACTCACTTGTCATACTCCTCGTTGTCAGTATCACATCGTGTATCGTTGAGCTTTTTGGCCGTCTTCTGCCAGTTTTTGCCATGTCGGCATGTAGTTAATAAAATTATATCCTTTTTATTGTGAATATGATACAATGAATTCCGGGTTTCAGACCCTATTCCTGTTAAATAACGTTTTCCTTTAAAGCCTAATAAATAATACCTAAGTGGGGGTACATTGTTAACAGATATGTACAAATGCCCCTTGTCACCCCCTTTTTGGGGATGATCTTTGGCAAATAATGGAAATGATATATCAAAACCATGACGAAAGGTATTTGTAGACATGCTAGCTTTAGCCAGCATGGCTTGTCCTATATTAAAATCCACATTTAAAACATAATCTGGCCATGTACCAGAATATAAATTAAAAATAAGGTGATTTCTTCCATTATTCCAGTATGGTAATTTGCTTAGTTTCAAATCCATATCATGTACCATGTCTGTACTTAAAACATCCCTATCAAGTGTATCTAATGCTAGGATAAAAAGGCAGGCTTCTTTAGGGTCTGACGTATAGAACCTAGACTCTTGAATCGAAACAACAATTTTGTTATAGCTATGCGATACTTTCTCTTCCAATGGATAAATGTAAATTTTAAATCCGTTTTTGCAAAGTGAATAATCGAAACAGGTTTCCATTCTACACTTTGAATAATCCTGGTCGCTGTTTGGCGAGCGTCTCTGTCGGGCCGACACGTGCATGTCTTCACCGAACGTGTAGTCGCTGGCATCAAGGAAGGATATAAATTCTCCATTCTCGATAGCATAATGTTTTCCATTTTGTGAAAAGTGTTTAGGCAGTTTTCTCAAAAAAACTATCAACACCAGAATAACTAAACCACATATTACTGCGGTTGTATATCTTTTCTTAGCCTGCATGGGACATTCATTGACATTATTCACCCAATTCCCACATTTCCTGAACCATTTATAACATCATACAACACATATTATGTCTTAAACTGGTTTGAATTAACAGACAATAAAAGGTCGGCCATTTTACACACACACAAGTGTCAAACTAAGTGCATTCAAATAAAATACATGAGAATGAACAAGTTACCGTTTTTCAATAAACGTGGGTTAAATATAAAGTAATCAAATATTTCCTGATACTTTCTTCCTATTCGTGTACGAATATCACTTTAGCTTTTATGTAAATAAAACAAAGAAGTCATAATCAAATAAAATTCTCCTGTCTGTGAATCACACTCTCTACCATTCATGGAAATCCCGCTGTGTGCGTTATACGTCACTTAACTTGTTTCAGTCTAAAAATAAAATGGGAAAACACCAACCAATTAAGAGGCCCGTCTTCGGGCACCTTGCTGTCGTAAATTACTGACACGTAGATAAATATACATTCCTGTTACTTGATAATCTCTGTTAATGCGGAAGACAAATTTATTTGGTAAATATTTTGTCAAAAACTCAGTTATTAAATCAAAAGACAAGATGAGTTTTTTTAATAAGGTAACGGCTAATATAAAAACCATGCATGCATAAGGTTTAGATATTTACAGCTGAATGTTGTGTCACGGATTTATATTATAATATAAATCCGTGGTTGTGTCTATCAAATATAACAGAAATAGCCAAGTTAAATACAATTTCGAGGGAGAAATAAACTACTTTAATTCGATTTGAAGTTAACCTTGTTTCTCAATCATTTCATATTTGAAAAAAAAACATCCCTTACAGCCATTAAAACAAATTAAATTGAAAAAAAATACTGTCCTGTTTTTTTTTCTTCAACTCTATACATAATTTCATATACAATAATTATTGTACAAAATTTCATATATGATATAAATATGTTCGTAATTTAAAACAATGAGTCATGTAGTAATCATAATATATATGCCTTGTTTTAGAGGAAAATATTTCAAGACTGTGGTTAAAATCCAAACACCATTTTATGGAGAATTCTCATCATTTAGTATTATGTTAATAACTTTACAATTGATTTTACATGTATGATTTATTCATTAGTTCATTAGATTTTTTTGTGAAATAAAAAAAAACAAATGCTTCTTCAGCATTTTTAAAATTCCTTCTCTGGCCTCAATATGCAAATTTTCTCCCTTGTTTAGAACAATATCACTAAAGTGATCTCCCTTCAAGAATTTGTTATTGTAAGGGGAAGTAACCTTGGGTTCAAGTTTGCTTTTTGATCTGTACGGATTACTCCCCTTAAATTTTCCTAAACTATTATATCACAAAGTCTATCAGTACATGATGACATTTTTGATATCTATCTTCCAGGAAGTTACCAGACTAAATTTCAGTTACAATAAGCAGGATTTATAGCGAAAATTAACAAAAAAGTGCCCAAGAAATAGGTAATTTTTACAAAGAACACAGCTTTAATAATTTCTTTGGTAAATGATGTCATACCCATTTGTCCATTTTCCATGCAGATTGGTCCATTCAATAACTTGTGGGCCCTATCCCCACATTTATAGCAATACTAGGGATATGGCATTAACACTTTACAACAAGGTCAGAAATCCACATGGTTTTAAGCACTGGCTAAAGTGGCAATTCCTTTTCCATGAACTTTTGTAAAAAAAATCCTGTCATTTTCCAGTTGTCACATACCAATTGATCTACTCTGGTGAGCTAAAAAGGGTAGGTCACACCTACAAGGCCTATATGAAGCTACACCACTGGTTTAGAAATATGCAAGACCTCCGATATAGTGAAACGGTATAGGCTGTTTGAGTTTTAGCCCTGTAATAACAGTCTAACAGTCAAATAATACTGGTCTGCAGTAAAACAACAATTTCACTGGACTGTGTATCAATAGCTCTCCCATTATGTGCCAACTTCTCCACTTCAACCCTAAACCCTGCTGAAACTGGGTAATTTAGCCTTTGCAACATCAGTATAGAGCCAGGCCAGCCTTCCAGGGAAAACAATCAATCCTAGGCTTGCCACCAAAAGTGTTGAGTATTTGCCACCATCACAAACTATGGAGCCAGGACAATCTACACATCATCCACTCTCTATGCTTTTGGCTGACTAAACTTTCATTTTGATATTCCCAAAATTAGTAATGTAAAATTCCAAAATTGAAAGCTAAACTACACCCACCTGATATAAACAACACAGTGCAACTAGTGTAATTTATCATTATCTTTTATAGAAAACATTTTAGTTTATATTATATACATTTATTTTAGTTTGATTGTGTTGGAAGCTATAATCTTATTGAAACACACTTAAATCTGTCTGTGAAACCAACCAGACTGTACTAAGCATTGAGTGAGAATTTCTTGGTCATGAAAACAACAGCTTGCCCCTAACATGGTCCAAACCTATGATTGTGGCCAGCGATCCTTAAATTGTTTGTCTGAAGTGTTGCCCACTTGGCTTTGCTGCCACCCGAGATAACTTTTAGTTTGGAAAAATAAACCCATTTAAAAAAGTATAGTATTTCTAGTCCAGACACAAAATGTCCGAACTTTGATCTTCAAGGGTGCAAAACCATAACCTTCAGCCTGCACATTGGCTGAGCATGAGTTGTACACATTGACTTGTTGAGGGGAATATTTAAGCCAAGAAAATGCCTCAAGAAGCATAGGATTTAAAGATTTAAGGAGTTGACACAAAATTGTCTACTTTTTTACCTTTTAGGAAAACCTTGTCCTTGAAGAGTCTGCACAGCAGCAGTAAGACTTCTGCACATCACTTTGCTAAGGTAAAACATTTAAGCAATGTTTAAAGAAAATCTTTTAAAAGGTATTAGGGTTTATAAGTGAACTTCTCAGATATTTGACCTTCAAGGGTTACCTTGACATTGAGGCTGCACAGCGGCTGCATAGGTTCTGCCTATTAGGATGAACATTTGAAGTTTGGTAAAAATCCTTGAAGAGTTACAGGATTAATAATGTGGACATAATAGATGGACCGACAGTTTGAGGGGACAAAGCAATTCCTTTATAGCTTCACCTCCACATTATGTTGTTGGGATATAATCATGCCAAATTATTTCATGGTTTCTACATATTTATATGTAGACAATAGAACCGACAGAATACCACAGATTTATGAGGGAGGATGCATTTTTAAATTGAGAAAAAACAAAGGGACATAACCATGGGTATTTTTAAGAGTGGATATCTGTGTACTGTCTCCCTTGAACCACTGTTTGCCTCATTTTTTTCAATTACCATGAAAAACTCTTTTCTGCAAAATGATAAATTATCTTCATGTGTGTCATAAAATCTGATCATGCTGCAATCAATAGGTTAAATCTTTTACAGCCATTCATAGCAATGCCTTTGTGAATATGACACTTTCACTTCTAAAAATTTGTAAGATTTTTCTTGTGATCTCACAAAACTATAGAAAATTAAACAACATTGCTCTGGCATGGAAACATGGTGTGACAGGGGCAATAACATCTGAATGAAAGAAAAATATTGGAACCCTCATTTACCATCTAAATGTGAGGTGCCCTGTATAATACCTAGCTTGAGATCCTCAGTGTATTTAAGATTTTTAGTAACCCATTTAAAAATAGAATCATTCTGTAGAGGTCCATATTCTGTAAGGCAGTACACAACAATTTTCTGATAGCTAAAAACCTTCATTTACCTTCTGAATTGAAAGGGTCCTTCAGTAACCATCTGACAGCTAAAAGCTCTTGTTTACCCTCTGAATTTAAAAGGCCTTCAGTAACACTGACAGTTAAAAGCCCTAATCTTCCTAACTCTAAAAACAAAAGGCCAGTTAATTACCTTCTGAATTCAGAAGGCATTCACTAACCATCTCACAGCTATAGGCCTCATTTAGCCTTTGAATGTTTCAGGCCCCAATTTAAATGCAAAAGGACTTAATTAACCCTGTGAATACTACAGGCACTATCCTCCAATTTCAAGAACTCTTTTAATTCTCTGAATGTGTGTAGCCCTCATTAACATTTTGAATTTTAGAGGCCATCATTATTTATAGTGGCACTCATTGATGATCTAAATTCCTGTGTCCCTCATTAATCATTTAATTATTGTGGATCTCATTAATCACCTGAATCATTCTGGCCCTCAATAATCATTTGAATTTGTGTGGCCCTTATTCATCATTTGTATAATTATGACCTTCATAGAGCTTGAAAATTATTGTGGCCCTCATTATTTGTATTATTGTGATCCTCATTAATGATTTAAATTCCTGTGGCCCTCTTTAATCTGGCACTCACTAATAATATTTTGATTATTGTGATCCACATTAATTATTTGATTTATTGTGGCCCTCATTAATCATTTGAATTATTGTGGCCCTAACTAATAATTTGTATTATTAAGGCCCTCATTAATCAATTTAATTCCTGTGGTCCTCTTTTTTATCATTTGAATCATTATGACCCTCATAAACCATTTGTATTATTGTGGCGTTCATTAATCATTTTAATTCCAGTGGCACTAATTTATAATATTTTAATCATTGTGATTCTCGTTAATCATTTTAATTCCTGCGGCTATCATTTGAATTATTCTGACCCTCATAAACCACTTGTATTATTGTGGCCCTCTTAAATTATTTAAAATCTTGTGGCCCTCATATTAAGGTGGCTCTCTTTTATCATTTAAATTATTCTGACACTCATTAATCATTTGTATTATTGTGGACATCCTTAATCAATTCAATAATTCTGACCCTCATAGATCATAAAATTATATTGACCTTCATTAATCGTCTAAATACATGTATATACGAGGGGTTATCCAAAAATTCATGGACTTTTTAAATATCTCTTGAACATCAACGTGTATTGTAATGAAATTTTATCAGCATATTTTGTAGAATATTATCAACACATTTTGAAAGAAACAGTCAATTGTGTCCATAAATAATGATTTTATATTGCTTTTAAATAAGCACATACACGGCACCCGGCGCACGGTAGAAAAACGCAGTAAGTCATTGATATTTTTGCTAAAATCAACTAAAAAAAAAAAGTAGAAAACCCGCTGAACATCGCATGTTTCTTCTATGATGTCATTTAAGTAATTCTTTAAAATAATGGACGTCATTTCTGTTTATTTTTGTTGATATCGCTAGAAACGCCAGACGCCTTTATTGTTTACAATGGGAAAATGACGGACACGCGGTAATTAGAAAATCGCAAGATCATATAACGATCATAAATTTTTGTTGTAATTTGGGGATGACACCTACAAAAACATTTCATAACAAGAGCTGTCACAGGAGACAGCGAAGCTCGACTAATAAAATACTTGACGCAGTAAGGAGGACAAAACTATGAAAGAAAAATCAATTATGTATAATTATGTATTAAGTTATAGTAAAAAAATAACAATTGTTAACATAAATTCCAAGATCAAGGGGAATAATTCTAGAAATAGTCATGCTAGAGTTATGGACCTTGTCACACAACATTTGTGTAATGATAAGAAATATATATTTGAAGTTTGAAGTAGATACCTTAAAAAGTAAAGAAGTTATTATATTTCTTAAAGAAAATCCTAAGTTCAAAGATAGATAAATCTGTAAATATTGCTTCAAGAGTTATGAACATTGTCACATAAAATGTAATTGATGATGAGGAACAAGTATTTGAAGTTTGAGGTAGATACCTTTAAAAATAAAAAAGTTATAGAAAAAAATAACATTTTTCTAGTAAGAAAAATCTAAGTTAATGGGGAGATAATTATTGCAATATTGGTGCTAGAGTTATGAACCTTGTCACATAAGATGTGGATGATGATAAGGTACATATATTTGAAGTATGAAATTGATCCCTTTGGAAATAAATAAGTAACAGTAAAAAATAATATTTTTTATGGAAAATTCTAAGTTCAAGGGGAGATAAATCTGAAAATATTGGTGCTAGAGTTATGAACCTTGTCACATAAGATGGGGATGATGATAAGGTACATATATTTGAAGTATGAGGTTGATCCCTTAAGAAATAAAGCAGTAACAGTAAGAAATAGTATTTTTTTAGGAAAATTCTAAGTTCAAGGGGAGATAAATCTGAAAATATTGGTGCTAGAGTTATGAACCTTGTCACATAAGATGGGGATGATGATAAGGTACATATATTTGAAGTATGAGGTTGATCCCTTAAGAAATAAAGCAGTAACAGTAAGAAATAGTATTTTTTTAGGAAAATTCTAAGTTCAAGGGGAGATAAATCTGAAAATATTGGTGCTAGAGTTATGAACCTTGTCACATAAGATGTGGTTGATGATAAGGAACATATATTTGAAGTTTGAAGTTGATACCTTAAGAAATGACAAAGTTATAGTGAAAAATATTTTACTGCACCAAAACTTTAATCTAAAATCTGGACGCGGACGCCGACGCCGACGCCGGGGCGAGTAGGACAGCTCTCCATATACTTCGTATAGTCGAGCTAAAAATCAGCAGACGAACAGAGAAAAGAAAATTTCACAATCATTAGTGTTAAAGTGGCATAAGAAATTTAGTGACTGACATTACTTTGAGAAGCAGTAACCGTCATTGACTGCGTATGGTTGAAGCACAAGTTGTACGTTAATATTATGACGTTGACGTCAATAATTTTTTGAGGTGCGCCGCTGTCGCCGACATGTGTTTATGTAAAATTAAATATTGTTGGAATGTAAAAAGCTACTCACATGAATTTTTCTGTGTTTATTTGTTATAAATTCTTCTAAGCAGTGTAAGAATTTCAAATTAATATCTCAAATATATTTTACGCAACAAAGAAAGTCCACGAATTTTTGGATAACCCCTCGTATGTGCCTTTCATTGATATTTTATGTTAACTTATATGAAAATCCTTCAGCAAGCTAAAATGCTCTTATTTTTCATATCAAGGAATGGCCTTGAACTTTGAGTCACAGTTCTGGATCTTGAAGCCAACCCTCTGAGTTAAGGTTATACTGTAATTTGTACCAAGTTTTTTTGAGAATCAACTCTCTGGCTAAGTCTTCCCTGTCTGCAAACTGGCTCAACAAGTCAGAAATAAACCTTACGAAGGACATTATTTTCAAACTCAGGTTTTATTTATAAATCACACTTGGCCAGTGAACTTAGAGAGAGGCATATAGGTGCGGGGAATAATTTTAAATACACAGCATCTTTTAGCATTAATTATTCCAGACTATTTTAAGTTAAAAAAACATAGGACATTCACTGCACTACTTTATTAATCTATGATACAATGAGCAAATTTTTTTATTAATATTCCTTGCCATATGATACAAATCAGTTGAAAAGTATACAATATGGATTTCTATGAAAAATTAACAAATAAATTTTTTTCAAAATCCCCCTTACAAACTTATCAAGGAGGATAATTATGTAAATGGTGTATAACAGGAAGTGCATGATGGCCTTAAAATGCTCACCTATACTCCATTGTACAAGTTAAAAGAAACATATAGAGATGCGTTTACACGTTTCTTTTTTTTTTAAATTTGCCTTTGGTTTGTAAGATTATTAATGTTTTGATATAAAAAATACGAGTGGAACCAACTTGATGGTAATTATTGTGTGATCATAATCAAATAAATTCAAGCATCTGTTCCTATTTTAACAGTATAGATTTCACAGTTGTGCAACTTGCCTGTTTGATTTGTTTGTTTGATTGGGTTTTACGTCACACGGGCAAAGTATAGGTCATATGGCGACCTTCCAGCTTTACTGGTGGAGGAAGACCTCAGGCGGCCTTCCATACATTATTTCAGGCACGAACCGGTACCCGAGTAGAACCATAGACATTCAGTAAGCTAGCTGGATAGCTTCCTCACATGAAAGAATCAAAAGTCCCTGTCAGAATTCGAACCCACAGCAGTGAGAGGAAAGTGGTTTTTAACCTTTCGGCCATGGACGCCCCCCAACTTGACTGAATAATAGCAATTAATGGTGTGTATAAATGTAACAGAATTCTAGAAATGTTATTTTTTCACTTTATATACACTTAGGGACATAACTCTGTAGATCCCCAAAAATTTGAGTTAAAGTATCTAGTTGCATAAATTAACATACTGACATCTATTTATAGAAAGGTTAAAGGTTAATGATGAGTGTTGAAGCTGTTGGTGGGACTAAAGTTAAATTGGGAAGTCTGGCATTGATAAAATATCTTGATAAATATCATAACAAAGAATACTGCAGAAGTTTTATTATTCATTAGACTATTTCATTCAGTCTGCTGTAAAAATATTTTATATATCATCTTTTCCAAACCACAAACAATCGACAAATCTAAGAACCAAGGGATATGTACTTCTGACAAAACCATGAAATCTTAGGCCCATGAACTGAATTCACAGCATCACAAAAGAATATCAATAGAAAGAATAATTGTTTCTATATTTCGGATAAAGTGTATTGTGAATGTGCTAAATCTTATTATAAATAGCAGTGAAAATTTTGTTAGGACTTGTTATAAATTGATACATCCAGTAGGTTTTGCAGGAAAATAAATTTTCCATAAACATAACAAATGCTGACATGTACTTTTTTCATTTAATCAACAATTAGCAATGATTTTTAAATCTGGGAATAAACAAGTAAATATTTTAAAGGCATCATATCCATCAAAATAGGTCAAAATTAGCTAAAACACAATTATTATGCTAACTTTGAAAGCATTCAACTGACAATGATGTGTGTTAGTAAACTTAGTCATCTAGAGGCTTGATTGACATCAAAACATTTGTAGACGTTAAACAAGCATGTTTCATTTAAATGTTTCATAAACCTGTGAACAAAGACCACCCAAAGGAGAGACCAAACATGGCCTTCCTAGACAAATGGTCTTTACTTGGAGGTTACTCTATTCTATTGAATCTATTAATTGCTGTTGAATAGAGGCCTTTATTTACATGATGGTGTTAAAATGCAAGTGGTCTTTAACAAAAATTTGACAGTATCAGAAAAAAATAATATATTCCATGAACAATGTAATAAATCTAATAAGAATTTTTTAATAAATCTAACATAATTAATATTGCACATACTATTCTGCCACACCAATATTTAAGCATCTTATCACTGTCGCATTTCATGTTGCCTAGCAACTGAATATCATCTCCTCTACAATATAATAAATATATATCACAAACTGGCAAGATTCTTTTTTTTTTTCGACCAGGTGTTTTAACTAACGTTTGTAATGTTCCACATTTGTGATATTTAAAATCTATGTGGCATCATCATTTTCTTGAACCCACTCTTGAACCCGGTTTTAATTTGTAATATTTGACATTTGTAGCTGGTAGTTAAAATCTATGTTTGTGGCATCATCATTTTCTTGAACCGACTCTTGAACCCGGTTTTAATTTGTAATGTTTGACATTTGTAGCTGGTAGTTAAAATCTATGTTTGTGGCATCATCATTTTCTTGAACCCACTCTTGAACCTGGTTTTAAGGTTGCAAAATGTTTCGCACATCTCAGCATGGAGCTTAGGTCTATCAAGAAATTGTTGACATACGAGTCTTTTTCCGATTTCTTACTGTCATATATCACAACTATGTAAATCTTTGGATCTGCATTGATAATAAAGTACGTACTTTGAACACCCTGAAACAAAGAAGAAAAAAAAGCACACAATAAACTGGTTCTCATTATAATTTAGTTAGTATTATACCCAAATTTATTTTGGTTTGATTGTGAAGTAAGCTATAAGCTTATAGACACATTCTTGAATCTATCCCTGGATTCAACATGTAACAGAAAATAGGTGTAAAGATTTTTGCTAAAGGAAATAACGGCTTGCCCCTGACAGGGTTTGAACCTTTGGCCAGCCATTTAAGACAACAAGTCGGATACATTTAACAGTCGGTCTCACAACTACTTCAAAATTAAAAATTTTATACCAAAGGTTAATGTTTTTCAAAACTGTAAACATACTAAACACAGCATGCCATGTATCTAAGCTCTGGGAAATGTTATTTCTCACAGTAAGACTTAAATGTGTTTTCATATATATAATTCTATATAAATAAAGTGACCACTAGGGTATGGTCTAATTTTGATATCAGGAGGCACAAACCTGTGTTCTGCATATCGTGTCAATATAAGTAACATTACCGCCAAATAATTTTAATTTTCGTATATCTGTTCAAAAGATGAATTTACACTAAATTTTGAAATTCATATATGATTATGTGCGACCTTGACCTGAGAAAGGACAAACATGTGCACTGCACATCGTCTCATGATTGTGAACATTTCTGCAATTTCCTTTTAATTGTTCAAAAGGCACAGAGCAGACAAAATATTGTTAACAGACGAACATACAACCAGGTGCATAATAATATACACTGAGAGGCAGGTTTCCAAAGACATATATTTTAACCATAACTATTTGTATTACAGCCGCCTTTAAATCACATTTTCTGTTAAGATTGTGAGAATGACTTCTTACAAACCTTATCATATATACATGTGACTTTATCTGTTTCTATCACTCTGTCACTGATCATCATCACAACGTTTGGCCAATGGTTACCAGGGTGATCCTGTACAAAAAATAACAAACATTTCATCAATATGTTACCATGTGACCTTATGAGACTTGAGCATTATAAAAAAAAAAAGATTCTTTTGGGTTCTTTGTTTTTCTGCTGGCTTGAATTTAAAGTGCATACAGCTATATATCTTCTGCCTTTACTTACATTATTATGGTTTAAATTTTGAAAAAGAATAATTTATACTTCCAAAAAAAGACCTGCATATTATAAAAAAAATTGTCTGGAATTAAAGTTTTTTTCTTCTTTTTTTTTTTTTTTTTTGGGGGGGGGGGGGGGTGGGTTGTGGGTTTATGTCACATCGACACAGTATAGGTCATATCGCAACGTTCCAGCTTTACTGGTGGAGGAAGACCTCAGGTGCCCTTCCGTGCATTTTTTCAGGCACGATCGGGCACCTGAGTAGAACCACAGACGTTCCGTAAGATACTAATGCAGTGGCATGAAAGATTTTAACTTTTTCAATATTTTACAAGTGGAGGAAGAATTCAGGGGTTTCTGTCCACACAGGCAGGCACCCGAGTAGAATCACCAACTGTCAGTAATTTTTTAGCTAGACCACATTCACACATGATAAAAATCTAAAGTCCCTGTCAGACTCAGCAACTTCACAGATTCAAATTTTACTAGTCAAGGAAGACCTCAGTTGCCCTTCGTTTTTTTTCAAGTTTTTTTGCTGTTTTTTGTTGTTGTTTTTTTTTCATTCAAAACCAGACAATTGAATATAAAACAAACAAACTTCCATGAAATAACTGTAAAAAAACTTTCTAGATCGATAGTATTTAAATGCCTTGGCAAAATTTGAACCCGCAGAAGTAAGTGAATCTTTCTCAGCAACCTGAACCACCCAGCCATGGTGGTGTTGGGAGTTTACCCTTCAGATCACGACCTAAAACCCTGAAGGTTAATATATAATTACCCCAGGATATGAGAATATAACAGGATAACTATCAAGCCCGGTTGGCCGGTCAAACTGTTTAGCCGGATGGTGGTAGCCCGGACCCTTGTACACTTGCTCGATGTCCTGAGCATCCAGCACCAGTGACACATTCAGAGCATCAGTCTTCTTCTGGAATGCTACAACCCTGAAAAAACAACAAAAAAAAACAATAAAATCTAAATGCCTAGAAAGTGCTGGAATTTCTTAAAACAGCATTAGACCCATCCAAGTGTAAATGCTAAGTAAACAGGTTAAGTAAAGTTACTTTACATTTTGCCATAACTGTGTTCAATTTGATAATTTACTATGAAAAATAATCAATAATCCATGTGACACAAGGACATTTCAAAAAAATATTGTTTGGAAAGTATTGGTAGTTTTGATTTTTTAAAAAGATTAGAGCATTTTTTTTTATTATTACAGTAGTATTTACATCTCATACTAAACATTTTATCAATTATTGGTCAATCACTATTAAAATTGTCAATATATAACTATTTTCTCACGTGAAAGATTCCACAAGCCCCAGGGCAGGATTCAAACCCACAGCAGTAACGGGCAAGTGGTTTGATGTAACCTTAACCACTCAGCCATGGGAGGAAGATGCAACCTTAACCACTTAGCCATATTAGGAAAATGGTATTGAAAAAAACACTTACTTGGTAAAGTAATCCTCTAAATTTTTGGCTGACAATGCTTTCATTTCAACAGGTGTTGTTTGTTTACTCAATACATCATAGAAATACAAGCTAAACTGGAAAAAAAATAACCCATCTCTTATATTAAATGAGGACAAAGCAATCAAGAAGAGCTGTCACATATAAATACAGATAAAACTTGCACACAAAAGCTTAACAAAGTTGTTTCAAAAGATTTGATAACTTTAAACTCGAAAATCAATGCCAGAGTTTATCCGGAAACCAATTTTTGATTTTAATCCCAGTGACCTTGACATTGGCCCCAGAGGGCCTAGACCAATCCCAAGTAAGGTCTCTTCATACAATGTTGGGTTACAGTATCTTATTCCGAACTCTAGTTATCGTCCGGAAACCATAAAACTGACCGACCAACCAACAATCTCATTCTAATATTCCCACCTCTCCAAATCTTTGTTTATTATAACCATCATTTTGATTTTGGTACCATCCCCTTTGTGGGTGTAAGAAAATTTATCCATGAAAATGAGTCAATAAGTTTTTTCTATAAATACAGGATTTCATTGAGTGGTATTAAAATAAATATTTCATGAGTGGTGGTAGCCACGAGTGAAATATGATAATTTTCATAGCACAAGATGAAAATGAATTCTGTATTCATAGAAAAAACTTGAAATTTCTGTTTATTACATACATTTTTCTCTTTTTATTACATACATTTTTCTCTTTTTGACATTACAAATATTGGCTGAATTTAGAAGAAAGTAGTCTGGCAAGACACCAGTGAAAATACAGAAAATATGTTTCACTGCAGTGAAAATATGGAAAATATCCTTCACTGCAGTGAAAATAAAGAAAATGAAAATATGCATTTTATTTCATCAATATTTCTAAAAATTTCATTTTTAAGTATATAATAAAAAATAAGTTTATGTGATGAAATTGGCGGATTAAATCAGTAATATATCTCTTGCATCTCTATTGCCTGATTTGAATCAAGAACCCAAATAAGCATGTATGTAATCCATCATATTGTATTGGTACAGTCTGATAATGACGCCCCATGTGTATAACATTCTCTTAAGTGATAAAATACACTAACAATCTGTATAAAAAAATTATGATAGAAGGCAAAAGGGGCTGGGCTTTAAGATCCATTATTACCATTTTCCCTGTAATTATCAATATTACCAATTTCATTTGTGTTTGTAATCCTTACATTGCAATATAATCTATGTTATACATACTAATTAATATTATTATATATACTTAGTAAAAACAAAGACAAATTATTCTGTGATTACTGTTCGGGATTTAAGCTTGTCAATAATTAAAAATTAACAATTTTTTTTTAAAGCATTAATATCTTTTTGGGTTAAATTTTTAAAACATGAAAGGGGGTTTTTTTTTTGGGTTACAAAGGGAAAAAACAACCTTATGTAGGCACCCTGATTAGATCTGATATTTTTACTTAGGGAGAAAAGAAACATAAAAGATTTAAATTTAATGTTTTTTTTCAAATTTAAAAACATGTAAAAATTTTTCCTTTGTCTACCAATTTGTACCTAAAGATTAGCCCCAAAAGAATTTTTGAGAAAAAAAAAAAAAACGGTTTTATACATTTTTTTATCCCCTTTTGGAAACCGGGTAAACTCTTGTATCGTAGAAAAACCACTGGTCCCAATACCCCGGCCATTTTTGAAAAAGTTTTTGAGAAGGGCCCAAAAAATCCCTTTTTCTTATTTTGTCTAAAAGAAAAAAATAAGGAAGTTTACTTAAATTTAACATCAGCCACTTTATTCTCTGGAAACTTAATAGGAATGTGAGTTTATTGTCCCAGCTGGTGATATCATTCTTTTCGTATAAATTAAGAGATCTGATTCACACTTTGTATTGTTTTTCCTGATTGGGAAATATCTATTGTTTTATGCAATCTGTCTGAGCGGGGCTTTTGCACGTATTTTCTAGGTGATAATTATGCTTTATATATAAAATTCATTGACACTCAGTCCATGTTAGTGCGAAACAATTTTTAAAAGAAACAACAAAGTTCAGCTTCTGAACCAATATGTATAACCACATGGATATTTCGCAATCAGGAAAAACTATACAAAGTGTGAATAGATCTGTAAATTAATACGAAAAGAATGACAATAAACTCACATTCCTAATGAGTTTCCAGAGAATAAGGTTTCATGTTCTGTAGATACAAAATTACCAGCAAACTCAGAACTACCAGCAAACCCTGATCTACCAGCAAACCCTGAACTACTAAAATACTTGGAATTACCAACAAAACCTGAACTACCAATAAATCCTGAATTACCAGCAAACACTGAATTACTAAAATACTTGGAATTACCAACAAACCCTGAACTACCAGCAAACCCTGATTTACTAATATACCTAAAATAACCAACAGAACTAGAATATTACAAACATCAACATATGTTTTCTTCATTTAGCAATATGTTAAAAATACAAGAGTGCCATGATGGCCCTGAATTTGCTCACCTGTATATAAAAGCTCTCCATGACAAGGAACAAGTAATATTGTAAACTATAAACAAAAGCAGATATAAAATCTTAAAATAATATCACAAAGTTCATTTTTGTATCTGAAAAAGTGCATGTGTAAAAACATTACTGGTTGCTATTGCTAAGGGAAAACAAAAGTTCCAAAGCATGTGTACATATAAGGAAAATCAATGACCACCAGGGGCGGGGCCAATTTTGACCCCAGGGATTTTATTTGAACAAACTTGGTAGACGCTCACAAGAAAATGTCTCATGCTAAATATCTAAGCTCTAGCTATTTATGTTTTTTTTAAAAGGAATTTTTTTAAACAAATTTGGTAGACACACATTAACAGTTGTTTCATGCATAATACATAAGCTATAGCTCTTTGGGTTTTTTAAAAGATGATTTTTATATTTATATTTACATATAATGAAATCAATGACCTCCTGGGAAATTGGCTTAGTGGTTTATGAGGAGATGTCATTTAAAGTAAAGGTTAACAGACGGCCGGACGAAAAGCGATCACAAAAGCTTACCATGTCACTTTGTGACAGGTGAGCTAAAAACATTATCAAATGAGAAAAAAAAGGCATACCTCTTTTGCCTGTGATGCTGACCCCCAACTTGTTAGTTTACTGTGTGACTGGTGTAACTGTAACAATGTCTGGAGAAACTCAGCCTGTGACATGAGTATCTGACTTTGTAAAAGATGATTTATTACATCACACTCGTACCTGAAGAGTGAGAAAACAAAAAGCATCAGATAAATGCCTTCAGTAACAAAAGTTGTCCGCAATACCGCGCGCTTGACTATTCTCAGTGCTCGACAGTAAGAAAAGGGGCATAACTCAAATATTATCTCAGAGTTATGGAACCTAAACACAGAGAGTAAGTGTGTGAAGTTTCAATCTGTCCACTTTAGTAGTTTTTGAGAAAACAACTTGTATGCAAAATCTCAAACAAAGTGAATTTTGTTTGTTTGTTTGTTTGTTTGTTTCATTTTACGCCTTTTCCCAACAGTATTTCATTCATATAGGTGGGTAGTTTCATAACCATCGTTCCTGGAGAGTTACACCAGTACTAGACAACCTTCCTCCGTGCTAAACTACCAAAGCATCTCCCGGGGATCAAACCCACGCCAGAGAGGTAACTGGATTAGAAGTCTACAACTCTAACCCCTCGACCATGGAGGCAGTCAAACAAAGTGAAGGATTGCGGCAAGAACAATAGCTTTCCCTATTCTTCAAAAAGTTACATGTATATACTACCAATTGTTATATTAATTATCATGCTGTAAAACAATATTAAACCAATAACATACTGTAAACAGACAGACAATCAGACAGACAGGACAAAAACAATAATTATGCTGCTGCCAATGTCTACTGATGTGGGAGGCATAAAAAAGGTTTTTGAGTGAAAATTAAATAAATGTCTTACGTGAAACTGGACTTAAGACCGGCTAGTATCGGATGGTGAAAATTTTTACTGTGTACATGAATGATTTCTGCTATGACATCAACAAGATCTTGGTAATTCATATTCTTATTGGTTCCCATCGTGCTTATCTGCTCATAGCTGAGATCAGGCTAAGGGAATACAATTGTTTGTAATGTAATTAAAACACTGTGTTATTTCTTTTTTTGAAATATTTCTAGATCAACTGCATACCTCCATTCTTTACACAGTCCATTATCAATATTTAAAATATCAAGATAAAAATTTGCAGTTGGTTAGCCAACAGTATAGGTCAATGTAGTTTTTATTGAGATGTGGTTTTCATTAAGAAGTGGCCTCTGAATAAAAATTGTTTGCCTTTATAAAAAAGTGGCCTGATTTCATTAAGAAGTGGTCTCTATCTACTGAAGATGTTGTCTTGTTTTAAGTATTGGTCCTTTTAAGTAGTGTTCTTTAGTACGAAGTGGTTTTAATTAAGAAGTATTCCCTGTCTTAATAGGAAGTGGCCTTTATTTTATTAAGCTGTGGAGTTTATTAAGTAGTGGTCTTAATTCTATTAAGAATTGGCCTTGATTAAGAAGTGGTCACTAAGAGCTGCTAATTAAGAGGAACTCTTCATTTATTAAAACAAGGTATTAACAATCTACAATCTTTCATTAAGACAGTGTCCTAAATGAGAATGACCATATTCTCAGCAAGAACTAGAAGAGTTGCTCTTTACTTTTATATGTGGTCTTAAATAAGGGTGTGGAATTTAATAAGGGTGTGGTATTTAATAAGGGTTTGGTCTTTAATAAGGGTGTGGTCTTTAATAAGGGTGTGGTCTTTAATAAGGTTTTTTTTTAAAACTCTTATTATACAGTATCCGAAACTGATTAATCTTTGCCACAAGTATGCAACCAGGATGGCTGACAAACTTTAAGGGTTCGAATCCCGACAGGGACTTTGGACTCTTTCATGTGAGGAAGCTATCCAGCTAGCTTACGGAATGTTGGTAGTTCTACTCAGGTGACCGTTCGTGTCTGAAATAATGCACGGAAGGGCACCTGAGGTCTTCCTCCACCAGTAAAGCTGGAACGTCGCCAAATGACCTATACTGTGTCGGTGTGACGTAAAACCAAAAACAAACAAACAAAAGACAAACTTTAAATTATCATTTAGATACTTGCAAATAATGATAATGTTCCAAAAATGGAAGTTTAATAACTTAATGATTCGGCAGGTTTATTAAAGGTTTAATTATTAAAGTGTTGAGCATCATTCAAGGATACAAGTCCATTGTTTTCTGGCGGGCTCGGATATATTCACACAGCTGGCCACAAAGGTGTGACAGGAGGAGCTCAAACTCAACCATTGGTCCTGGTAGACCAAGCACGATATGCTCCTGCTGTCTCACAGAGTCCTCTATGCGGCGCAGTTCTCCGAGTAGTAAAAAGTAAGAGTTTCTTAATGTCTGAAATACAACAGATTAAAAAATTAGTTTATCAATTGTAAGTTTTATAATAAATAAATGTTCATTCTGCTGCCAATAATTTTTTTAATTTACACTTTCAGCATCTTGTATTCAAACATGTCCATCTGCTGCATTTGTTTTTATATATACATAATACAATATACTTTTTGGCATGTTTTGTTCAACAAAAATGCCCGCCCAGTTAGCTCAATAGATTTGAAATCCTGGGGGAGCTGGTTTGATCAACAAGGTGAAATTTCACAGAGTCTAATGGTCATTTGTTTTTCACCACAGATTCAGAAATTATGGTGGATGAGTTGTCTTTATTTCATGCTTTCCAGTGTTTTATTGTAATATATCAGATGATTATATTCTGATAAACCACTAGTGAAATTTATAAAATATAATTTTCACTGTAGCCGAACTATATCTGAATGCGGATGAAAAGAAAATCATAACTAAATGGAATAACAGGCAGAAATAAATGCCGTCATGCGTAAATTTTGCTTCTTTAGGAAAAGAAAGTCGACGTCACCATACATCATGTTAAAAATGTAACAAAATAAGAGAAATTTAACAGAATTATATGATGTGACGTTATGATTATGATGACGTCAAAAAAGGAGAATGTTGCAAAGGTTACGCGGCAAAATCAGTGAAAAAAATACTTAAAAGCATGAAATAAAAAAGAAAATCTATTTGTTTCACATATAATATTGAAATATATTTCATTCGTGAACACCAGCTATTCTATTTTCACTCGTGGCTAAGCCATTCGTGAAAATATTGCATCTGGTGTTCACTCAGTGAAATTATATTTCAATCTTACATGCAAAACAAACAAATATCCTCTATGTAATTAGCAGTGAAAACAGTCAGTTATCCAGCAAAGCTGGTTAGGTGAATTGACTATTGAGATATTAAGAAAAAAATGTTAAATTTAAACCAACTAACCAACCAACAAAACATTTCCGTTTGGTTTAAAAAAAATTTTAAAAAAGATTTTACAGTATCTTGTCTGTAACAATTGTTTTTCTTCTATTGTCAAGAAATCTTTTATGTCTCAAAATGGGCATCACAATAGTAAAATCAATAAAAATTGCTAGAAAAAGCATTGGAATTTGAACGCATCTTACATCTTTCCTTCCAAACCACTTCTGCTCCAGGAAACCCAGTGACATGTATATTTTCTCTGCTACAGAAAACTGTATTAGGGAGTGAACCATAAGTGCCCAAGATGAACCAAATGATGCTTTATGTATCTCCTTCTCTTTATCCTATTTTGTAAAAGATAATCTGATTGGCTAATTCTATAATAACAATAAAAATAATAATAATAATAATGACTTTATTTAAAGAAGTAACAGAGGAAAGGCCAGTCTTTCCTATGAGCCTCTATCAAAAACATCTATACAGTAACTGTTACAATTTCATAAAAAACAAAACATTAACAGATTTTTATACTGCATACAAACATATTACAAATACATATTACTTTTTGCTACAAAAAAGGGAGATTTAATTCGGAAATAACTTATAAATCACCATAATATCCTTCGCTTTAAATCAAAGGCAAATTGACTAAGTAGTTCAAAGTACGTCTGCAACTGACTCTCCTCTTTAGCTCCGATTGGTGACATTGGTGGAGTCTTCGGGGTAGATAAAGACTTTGGGGTAGATGGACTCTTTGGAGTGGATGGCTGTGACATGCTTAACTGCTAAAATTATATAATCATTTTTATTAAAAATTACTACATGAATTAAAATTACAATATTCTTGTTTCTATACTTGTTGTTTTACATATCA